GCTCTTCAGCTGATGGATCCAGCGTTTGCGCAGCTCCTCCGTCGGGGAGAACACATAGAGGGGCCCTTCGTCATACACCACCTGCAGGACCACACACCTTAGCGCCCCGGCCAGGGGTCTCCCAGGGAGGATGGGGGGAGCCGAGGCTTGTGGCCACCTCGAGCAGCTGGTGCAGAGCACAGGCTGTGCCAGGGTGTGCTGGCCCCGCATGGTGCTTATGGGAGCGTGACAGAGAGGTTATAAATAAGCCCCCTCCCCCGAGACTTTCCACTTCCTTCTCTGACTTTCGGTGTGTCGGGGGCCGTGCTGGGTGCCAGCAGGGGCAGGGAGCGGGGGCTGAGCAGGCAGCCAGCAGCCAGCATCCCTCCAGCATCGGCCAGGGGACTGAAAGGGGCAGGACAGAGCTCAGAAGCAGGATTCCATCTAAGCAGCCCCCTTAAATAGAGCTGCCCAATTCCTCGAGGCTCACAGAAGCTCACCCGCCTGCCCCATGCAGCGCGGACAGCAGCAGGGCATCCCCAAACAGCTGAGTGACAGCTGGCACTGGGGCAGTGATGCCTTGTTTGGCCCCAGGTCCCGCTGGGGTCCTCCCCCCAGCACCCTCCAGCCGGGCAGAGGGGGTACAGTGAGGACTCACCTGGAAAGGGTAGGGGAACCGTTCGATGATTGAGATCTGCTCCATGTTGTTGTAATCCTCTCCTTTCCTCTGGAAGAGAGAGGCAGAGACAGATGCTGGCATCCTGCTGCTTGGCTGGTGGCATCTCCCCTGGGACCCACAGCCTTTGGTGTCCCCCTGCTCCCCCTGTCCTGCATCAAGCTGGAACCCTGGTAACTCACCTGGAAAGGGTAGGGGAACCGTTCGATGATTGAGATCTGCTCCATGTTGTTGTAATCCTCTCCTTTCCTCTGGAAGAGAGAGGCAGAGACAGATGCTGGCATCCTGCTGCTTGGCTGGTGGCATCTCCCCTGGGACCCACAGCCTTTGGTGTCCCCCTGCTCCCCCTGTCCTGCATCAAGCTGGAACCCTGGTATGGTATGGACTGTGGGTGCAGAGCCCCCCATGCCAAGCACGGCTGTCCCCCGTTCCCACCACCCCAGGGCAGGGTAACTCTCCCTACTTCCCCAGCAAGGGGATGGGGGGCACAAGCGGGGACTCCGGGACCTTCCTCACCGGGACCTGCCGCTCAGGGGGAGGGTTGTTTTCAGGCACCACTGTCTCCACACAGGTGATCTTCTCAATGTCCACCGAGCCTTTCTTACTGCCCCGGCGCTGCAAGAGACGGGGTTGGTTCGAACGATCGCCAGGGGGGAGACCTGGGGAGACTCAAGCCAACCACCATCCCCATCTGACCACCCCTTGGGCTGGGTGCTGGTGAGGGACAACTGGTGACCCATGGGCACTGCCATGGCACAGCCCCTATGGCCCTGGGGCCACCAACTCACCCCCCGCTCAAAGTCATACTCGTAGTAGGACAGCTTGCTCTCCGTCAACAGGAACAGGCGCTTCTTGAAGTTGAGAGGAGACGTTTTCTTCTTCTGCTGCGAGCGCTTCAAGAAGATGCTCTCCAGGATGATGCTGGCCATGTCGGCCCCCCCAGCCTCGTCTGTGCTGTGCTCGCCGGGTTGCTGTGGGCAGGACAACACTGACACAGCGCTTGCTCAGCCGAAAACCTGCCCACTGCTGGACCTCGCTCAGGTGCACTCTCCCCCCTGCCTGAGGGGCAGCCAGGGGGTGCTGGGACCCCCACGGGGGGAATCAGCTGCAGAGGTGTGCAGGCAGGTCAGTGTAGGGTATTTGCGATGTGACCTCGCCCTCTCCCGTCCCCTCTCCAACACCAGGCTGCAGACCAAGCCACCACCCAGCCAGCTTCAGCTGCCGCTAGGTGCTGGAGGGGCCCCCTGGGTGTGCAGATGGACAGACGGACACAGACAGCCGGAGAGAGAGGGAGCCGGGGAGGCTGCAAGAAGCGTAGCCCCGGGGGAGGAGCACAGAGCCTGAGCAGCAACACCCAGCAAGCTCCCTCCTCCCCTCCAACATCACGCGTGTGTGTTTGTGTGGGCCGTTTCCTCCTGCCACACCACAGGCACTTCGTGCTGGGGATGTGCTGACTTGGCAGTGTGGGCAAGGGACAGCCACGGGAGACCAGCCCCTAAAAAGTTATGGGTAGGTCCTGGCCCTGAATAGCTGCAGTGCCGTGCTGTCGAGAGCACGGAGTAGCCCTAAAGTCATCCATCCTGCGTCCATGGAGCCTGCAAGCGTGCAGGGACGATGCTCAAACCCCTTTCCTCCCCTGTGAGCAGTGCTTGCTGGAGGCCAGGCTCAAAGGGCTGCCTCCAGCCAGCAACCAGACGTCCCCAGCAAAGCCCTCCTCCTGAGCCTCTCCTGGGATGGTCTGGGCAGGAAAGGGCTCAGATGAGAGCCCCGTGTCCCACTGCCTTCAGGGGACTGGAAATCCGCGCTGGCCCATCTCTTGGAGCAGCCCGTCCATCTGACCCTGTGCCACTCCATGCTACACCTCGGCACTGTGACACCCAGATGGTTCCAGCACCTCACAGAGCCACACAGCTGGAGCTGTGGGCTTCTCCTTCTCTGAGGGCTGTAACCAACACCTGACTCCAGCCTGGACCTAACAGGGAGATGATGAGCTATGTGGAACCACTGCTGAACTGTGATCCCCTGGAGCCCTCCTCCATGTCTCCTGCCCCGACCACCTACATGCCCTGCTCCCCCTTCACCTCCACCTTAATTCCCTTTTTCCTCCTACAAAAACAGCTTTGGAGGGCAACCTGGGAGAAGCTGTTTCCCTCCCCTGCCCGTCTCCTCCGGGGGAAGGCTCAGAGGTGGGCCAGAGTCAAGGGTTGAGCCCCCCGCTACCCAGCCGGGCAGCCCACCCTCTCCCCCCACACAGGAGGCAGGCATTGGCTCACTCGCGACAGGGACCAGGTGGGGACCAAAGATGCCAGGAGCTGGTCCCACCTGCTATGCCTCTCTCCAGGGCATGCCCCAGCCTGGGGGCTGGAGCAGGGGTGTCCTCCCATCCGCTGGTGATGCCCAGACCCTCCCAGCACAGATCCTGCTGCTGCAATCCTGACGCTGCCCCACTGCGGTGGCTGTAGCCAGAGAGGTTGGGGACAAGCAGGGTTCCACTGTCCCACGGTCCCCCCTTCCCTCCCCTTGTGGCCCTCATGGCTCAGGCCTTTCCAGCTTGTTTGGGTGGTTTAAAAAAAAACAAACTTAAAAAATGAGTCGTCAGTCTTTTAGAAAAAACAGCAGCCTCCGGTGGCTGATCCAGGCCTGGGAAGGAAGGAACTGGGGTCCCTGCTGGGGACAGGGCAGGTGGCTGGGGTGGTGACCCCAAACTGCTGGCAGGCTGGTGGGCGAGCACAGAGCAACCCCAGCCTGTAGCCCCATGCCTCAGTTTCCCTAGCTGTAAATGGGGCTGCCAGTCCTGTGTCCCAAGAGCAGGAGGGCTCCCATTGCACCCCCCAGCAGACACAGGGGCTGAGCAGAGCAGCCCTGGGCTCCAGCCCATCCCAACTGCAGCGCCGGGTCCCCAGAAGCTTTACCTTGAGTTGCAGCAGCTGAGTCACTGCCAGCAGTGCCGGGCAGATGGGACACGTCCTCGCTGTGTCCTCTGGGACAGTGCCGCCAGAGAGGAAAGGACAATGAGTATCTCAGAGGGCTGTTCTGCCCCAGCGTGGCACAGCTGCCCTGTCCACAGCACTGCTTTCTTGTCCCCAGCATGGCACAGCTTCCCTCTCCCCGGCACTGCCACCAGCCCCGCTCTGTCCCTGCCTGTCCTTTGGGGTGGTGGGTGCCCCGCGAGACTCACCCCCGCAGCGAGCCATCGCTGCCGCGCTGTGACAGCAGAGGTGGCGAGTGGGTGGGTGGAAGCATATCCTGTGTGTCCCCCCCCAAGCTAACGTGACTTCCTGCTACTGTCACACCTCGGCCAAGCGTGCTCTGACACCACCACTGGGCCCAGCACACGCTGCTGGCCCCATGCCACCGGACACTGTGCCCCACTATGGTCCCGGGGCCACCCCCCCGCAGGCAAGCTCCCTGGCCCCTTCCCCGTGTCCTGCTAAGGAGCTGAGCCTTCCTGCCGCTGCTGGTTGATGGGGGGCTGGCAGGGGGCTGGCAGGCTCAGGGCAAGTGGGAAGGGCGATGCGGTGTCTGGGAATGACAAACTCCACAGCCCCCATGTTTCAGGTGCAGCCTGGAGGGTGACAAAAATGAAGGGTGGGAGGGACAGAGGAGGGAAACTCCCGCATGGGAGAGACTCGGGAACGAGCCCAGAGCTGCACCTCAGCAGCGCCACTGCAAAAGGCACAAGCAAGGAGTGGTCAAAGGCACAGTCAGCACCCCGACCCCCTGCTCCGGAGCACCCCTGGGGTCCCTGGCAGCCACACACGACCCTGATCCCATGCTCTGCTGCAGCCCCAGAGCCCCTGGCACCCACATACCACCCTGCCCTCCTGCTCTTGTGCAGAACTGGGGTCCCTGGCACCCACGCACCACCCTGACCCCCCTGCTCCAGGGCACCCCTGCAACCCCTGGCAGCCACACACCACCGCACCACCCTGCTCTGCTACACCCCCATGGCCTCTGGCACTGTGGCCCCATGGCAGCTCTCCCACCCCCGGTGGCAGATGCCGCCTGCTCAGAACTGGCCAGGCTTGCGAGGCAAGGCTGAGCCTTCCCAGCCCAGCACCACCGCACCACCCTGCTCTGCTACACCCCCATGGCCTCTGGCACTGTGGCCCCATGGCAGCTCTCCCACCCCCGGTGGCAGATGCCGCCTGCTCAGAACTGGCCAGGCTTGCGGGACAAGGCTGAGCCTTCCCAGCCCAGCTCACCCGCAGCTTGGCGGCATGCGGCCGGCACCCGGCATGGCTTTTCCCGCCCCGGCAGGTGCTGCGGCCCCCGGCACCGCTGAGGAGGGCAGCCCCGG